CCCCATGCCTCATCACCTCCCCCATCCCTTATGACCCCTTCCCCATTCCTCACAACCTCCCTCATCCGCCTCTCCCCACGCCTTCTCCACCTTGCCCCCTCCCCTGCCCTCTCCCCTATGCCCCCATTCCTCCCATGGCGCTATGTCCCCATTCCCCCCACTTTCTGATGTTAATGAAGTGCAGTTGGATACGTTTAGGCATTCTACACTATCTATATAATAGTATTAAATATGTATTTACTGTAATATTTTTCTGAAAGCATCTTACGAACATCCCCCATGTGGCTCTTACCACATACGAAGTATTCTACCATCAGTAAATTGTAAATGTCACGTAGGAGGTTTTTTGTTGTCTATTTTAAGACCACAATTTTTATTTTTATTTGGAAATTTCTTATTAAACTAAAGAACGAGCAACGTCTAAATCATTGATACCAAAATGTAAAAATCGTCAATTCCATTGCATAGAAGGTTGCCCATTTTCAACGACGATATTCAAATTAAACCAACCCCAGATGCCTATCGCCATATATTATCACTGGTGCTCTCCGCTGTAATAACGTTTGTTTATCTTTTTGTTGTTATAGATAACAATTGTTCTATGTCCATATTATATTGTCTGCATCATTATAATATTAATATGAGTCATTTTAATAATGGTTCAAATTCTGAAATAGAAACTACTTTTAAAGATTCACTGCCAAAAAAACAGCAAAAGAAACCGAGCAAGTGTGTGGAAGCAATTTCAAGAATGTTCTGAAGAAAGATAATACAAAATTGACAGTACAAATTACAAATGAAGTAAGTACACATGTTTAGAAATATTGGGAATTAATATGCGAAGAGTATATGGTGAAAAGTACAAAAAAAATTGCAATCAAAACTAACTTAATAATTGTGTATTTAATAAACGTACTTGTAAGAAAATTTGTTATAATTATTCATGGAAAGTTTTGATTAATAATTTTCTTTTTCGTAATTTCTGGGACTTCAATTACCCATTCGATTCATGTAATAGTGAAATAGTCACACTAAATATCCTTCGAAGTGCTGTGATATTACTTACGATAAATGGCTTGAGCAAAAGGGTAAATGGAACACGTGCGGAATTCCCTGACTAATGGGTGGTGATTAAAAAAGTTGTACGTGGTGAGGTAATGGGGTTGAGTTAGCTTAGTGAAACAATTAACAATATCATACACGAATGAATATGAGTCACTTTTCTCATTTAACTACTCCTAAAGTACAGTTTATCTACTTAATTAAATATGAATTTCACACACGTTTACTTTATAGGAAGCTTTGGCTGTTTGTCAAGAAACGCATCGCATTCCAGAGATTCCAGAATCTAATTCGTCGGCGAAGCTACATGAAATTTTCCATGTTTTTCTGTTTCAAATTTTACATGTTCTAATTCAATTTCATTCACTTTTCTTGTAGTATTAAATGACTTAACAAACCACCTTTTCTTTCTTTCAGTTCTTAAAATGCTAAATACATTTTTTTAATTGTAAATTATTAGTAATTTTTTATTATAATTTTGTTGTCACATCAAAAAAATATTCACGTTTTAATGTTTTTTGTTTTCTTCTTGTACTAGAAAACTGATGGCTAAGCAATCGAACGCTATGTTAATAAATAATATTGTTGGCAATGATGACTCATATAATTATTTCATGACCTTTCCAAGCTGTGAGAGGGCACTTTCAGGCTGATGGTCGCATTGATAATAGATGATATAAGAAAAACATGTATATTTATAACCTTTTTATATCTCCATGAGAAAATTTGTTCCAATGAGATGTATGGCGATGATTAAATTAGAGTTGAGTTTGTTTATTTCTGCAGTCTATCAATTTTCGAATATTTTACGTCTTTTAAACTTAACGCCCATGTCGGTTGCAGAATGTCAAAGCAGATAATCACCATTTTAATTTCGCAAGCTTCACAAAATAATTTTTCCTTTTAGAGAAAATAATTTTGCAACCTTCTTCAAACTTCAATTTATTTCGGGAGCGGAAACGTATATCTGATCAAAGCTTGCTTGGGACTGAGTACGTTGACAAGTTAAACACTGCGATGTATCAGAACCACTCAAAAAACCATTCGACGTCAATTCGATGTCAGTCTATGTGCAAATATTAAGTGTCTGATACAAAGTCATGTAAATACTAAATGTATTTCCCAAATGTGACAAAAAATTGAAATTACCAGAAATTGAATAATTTCACGACGCCGTTTCGTGTTGAAAGCGCATTTTATGTTTGGAATGTTATTGAAGAAATGATGTTCTCCCACCGAAAAATCAATTTTATTCTGTCCGCCTACACCCTTGACAGGTACGTCATGATCATTGAGATATGATGTTATGGCAGTTGAGATGAGTGTAAGAGTAGAAGAGTGGAATGGAGGACAGACGAAATGGATGAAACGTGAGAATACTTCTCGCGAAGCAAGTTGTACTCCACAAATCTGACAGAAATTGATCGGGAGTTCCACATTACCATATGGTCCTCACCCTGCGGAACATAAATTTCATTTCGCGGAAATGAAACGTTTCGCCAACACCAGTGGATCAATAGCAGCTTCCGGTTCGGAACCTCTCTGCCTCCCCCCCCCCACCAGCCCGGCAGCGCGTAAATTGTGCCACGCGTCCATTCACGGGGTGCGATTGCGTAGTTGTGAGTCCATGACTGAAACTTTATAGACCGGAAAGACCGATGTTCGAGTACTAACTGTGACGGTTTTGGGACACCATCCAAGACGTTCAGGCGGGCAACATCGCTGCCTACATGATAAATTGAGAGGTGGCTTCTCTGTACGGTAAGTTATGTTGTTTCTTCAATAAGTTCCAGGTGAATACTGGATCATTATCACAAATAACGGACCACAGTTTGCGCACGAATCCCCTTCCCCATTCTCTCCCC